TGATTTTTACTCTTCATTTTGTTAATATGATGTATCACATTAATAGATTTTCAGTTTTTGAATCATCTTCACATTCTTGGAATAAATCCTACTTGATCATGGTATATGATCTTTTTAATGTATAGTGTTCAGTTTGCTAATATAATGTTGAAAATTTTTGCATCTATGTTCATCAGGGATATTGGTCTGTAATTTTCTTTTCTTCTAGTGTCTTTGTCTGGTTTTAGCATCAGGGTAATTAATGCTGGCCTTGTAAAAGAAGTTTGGCAATATTCTCCCCATTCTATTTTTTGGAAGAGTTTTTTTTTTTTTTAGATTTTATTTATTTATTCATAAGAGAGAGAGAGGCAGAGGGAGAACCAGGCTCCCCACCAAGCAGGGAGCCTGATGCAGGACTCAATCCCAGGACCCTGGCATCATGAACCAAGCTGAAGGCAGACGCTTAACCATCTGAGCCAACCAGGCGCCCTTGGAAGAGTTTTTCTCAAACTTGATTGATCCTAATTCTTTTAAAAATATTTAGTAAAAGTGTCCATCAACTGATGGATGAATAAAGATGTGGTATATGTATACAATGGAATATTACTCAGCCATCAAAAAATGGTCTTTCCATTTGCAATGACGTGGATAGAGCTAGAGTGTATTAATAGTGCTAAGTGAAATAAATTAGTCAGAGAAAGACAAATACCATATGATTTCACTTATATGTGGAATTTAGGAAACAAAATAGATAAACATATGGGAAGGGGAAAAAAGGAGAAAGGGAAGCAAACCATAAGAGACTCTTTTTTTAAAAAAAATTATTTATTTGAGAGAGAGAGAGTACAAGCAGTAGGGAGGGGCAGAGGGAGAGAGAAAGAAGCAGATTCCCTGCTGAGAGAGAAGCCTGGGGGCAGGGCTTGATCCCAGGACCCGGAGATCATGACCTGAGCTAAAGGCAGATGCTTACCCAACTGAACCATCCAGGGGTCTATAAGATGCTTAATGATAAAGAGCAAAATGCGGGTTGATGGAGGGATGTGGGTGGGGGATGGGCTAGATGGGTGATGGATATTAGGAGGGCACTTGTTATGATGAGCACTGGGTGTTGTATGTAAGTGATGAATCACTAAATTCTACTCCTGAAATCAGCATTACACTATATGTCAACTAACTAGAATTTAAATAAAAATTTGGAGAGAAAATAAATAAATAAATAAATAAATAGAAATGAAAATATTTGGTAGAAATTAACAGTGAAGCCATCAGTCTTGGGCTTTTGTTTGTTGGGAGGTTTTTGATTATTGATTCAATCTCACTAGTAATTGGTCTATTCCGATTTTTTATTTCATGATCAGTATTGGTATGTTGTTTGCTTCTAGGAATTTCTCCATTTCTTCTAGATTGTCCAATTTGTTGGTGTATAATTTTTTGTAGTAGTCTCTTATGACCCTTTGTATTTCTGTGTTTTCAGTTGTAACATCTACTCTTTCATTACTGGTTTTGTTATTTGAGTCCTCTTCCTTTTTTTCTTGGTGAGTCCAGCTAAAGTTTTGTCTATTTTATTTTTTCAAAAAAACCCATCTCTTATTTTCATTGATCTTTTCTATTGTCTTTTTAGTCTCTATTTCATTTATTTCCATTCTGATTTTTGTTATTTCCTTCCTTCTACTAACTTCGGGCTTCATTTGTTGTTTTTCTAGTTCCTTGAGGTATAAAGTTATATTGTTTGAGATCTTTTTTTTTTCTTCTTAATGTAGGCATTTATCACTTTGAGCTTCCCTCTTAGAACTGCTTTTGCTGCATCCCGTAAGTTTTGGTGTGTTGTATTTCCATTTTCATTTGTCTCAAGGTATTTTTAAAATTTCTTTTATTTCTTTGTTGACCAATTGGTTGTTCAATAACAGGTTTAATCTCCTCATATTTGTGATTTTTCCAGCTTTCTTCTTGTAATTAATTTCAGGTTTCATACCATTGTGGGTGGAAAAGATGCTTAATATGTTTTCCACCTTAAACTTTTAAAGATGTGTTTTGTGGCCTAACATATGACCTATCCCAGAGAATGTTCCATGTGTACTCTGTTTCTTTTGGATGAAATGTTCTGAATATGTCTGTTAAGTCCATCTGGTCTAATGTGTCATTTAAGGTCAAATGTTTCCTTATTGATTTTCTGTCTTGATGATCTATCTATTGATGAAAGTGGGGGTATTAAAGTTCCCTAGTATTATTGTATTGCTATCTATTTCTCCCTTTAGGTCTGTTAATATTTGCTTTCTATATTTAGGTGTTCCTATGTTGGGTGCATAAATATTTACAAATGTTATATCTTGTTGTTAGATTGTTCCCTTTATCATTACATAATGTGTTTGTCTCCTATTACAGTCTTTGACTTAAAGTCTATTTTGTCTTATATAAATATAGCTATCCTAGCTCTCTTTGGGATTCCATTTTTATGTAACATTCTTTCCCATCTCTTTACTTGCAGTCCTGTGTATTCTTAAAGCTGAAGAGAGTCTCTTGTAGGTGACATATAGTTGGGTCTTGTTTTTGTTTTAAATCCATTTAGCCATTCAATGTCTTTCGATTGGAGTATTTAGTCCATTTACATTTAAAGTAAGTATTGATAGATTGGACTTTTTGCCACTTTTAAACTTGTTTTCTGGCTGCTTTGTAATTCTTTTGTTTCTTTCTTCTTCTCTTGCTCTCTTCCTTTGTGATTTGATGATTTTCTGTAGTGTTATGCTTATATTCCCTATGTTCTGTGTAACTACTATAGGCTTTTGCTTTGTGGTTACCATAAGGTTTACATAAAATAGCTTATAACAGTTTATTTTAAGCTGATAACAACTTGAGTTCCAATGCTATGCTCTGTCCTTTTTCTTATTAGGTTGTCTTTTTCTTTTCCTCTTCTTATTTCTCCTCCTTTTCTTCTTTATTAATCTTCTTTCATAAATTATTTGTTTTATGAGCATTCTTTTTTTATTGTTGTTGCAAATTCTTCTGCTCTGTCATTGGTCTTTTAACTTTGTTTAGTGACCTTCTCACTGTATGAATATTTTAATGTAATCACATATGTTGTAGTCATGGTCAATTCTGCACCTGACCTTGATTTCTTAATTACAAAGGCATTCTCCAATCCAAGATTAGAAACACGAGCCCCTCTGTATATTTACAGTTCTATCTGATCAGATAACGTGAGATGGGGAACACATAGATTTTGCTCTTATATAGAAAACCAGTGGTTTCAGCACATTTATTATGGTAAGACACATTAGGGGAGGGGCCTAAGACTGAAGAATTTTCTTAATCTTTTAAAATTGAGTTATACAGTTGATCCTTCAACAAGGTGGGGGTTAGGAGCACCAATCCCCTGCACAGTCAAAATCCACATATAATTTTGACTCCCCCAAACGTTAACTACTAATAGCCTAATGTTGATTGGAGGCCTTACTGATAACATAAACAGTTGATTAAAACATATTTTGTATGTTATATGTATTATATAAAGTAAGCTAGAGAGTAATAAAATAGAGAAAAGAAAATGTTAAAATCATAAGGAAGACAAAATACACGGTACTGTACTATATTTATATATTTAAAATGCACATATAAGTGGACCTACAAGTTCAGACCTGTATTGTTCAAGGGTCAACTATATACAATCAGCTAAAAGTATCATAAAATATGGTTCTACACAGTGTAATGTTGTAATAGTGTAAGAAATATATATTTGGTCTTTGTCCCTGATTCCTGGCATAGAGCTTCTGATGTAATACAATAAATTAACATTTGGGTTTTGTCCCTGGTTCCATAAACAGCTCTCTCAAATGATATTTGGTTTTTGTCCCCAGTTCCTGAAATAGCTCTGGAATGATACAGGTGAAAGGATCATCTTTTGTCATTCATAACAAGCCCTTTTCTACTACACTGGAGTTTATGTTAATGAGGTGACTTTTGGAAAGCCCTTAAGGATGGGGTCTGTTTGCTAGGGAGCCAACCATGTGATTAGGGGGTTGAAACTTTCAGCCCCATCCCCTGACCTTTGGAGAGGGGAGAGGGGCTGGAGGCTGAGTTAATCAATGATTTAATCAGTCATACCTATGTTGTGAAGACTCCATACAAACCCCAGGACTTGAAAGAATTTGGAGAGCTTCTGGGTTGGTGAATGCACAGAGGTGCTGGGAGGGTGATGCACCCAGGGAGGGCAAGGAAGCTCAGGCCCCCTCTCCCTTACCTTGCCAATGTATCTCTTCTATTTGGCTGCTTATCTCTTTTATTGCATTTTTCATAATAAACTGGCAATGTAAATATCTTTCCCTGAGTTCCATGAGCTGATATAGCAAATTATTGAAGTTAAGGAAGGGAGGTTATGGGAATCCTCAGTATGTAGCCAAGTCAGTCAGAAGTATAAGTGACACCCTGGGACTTGTGATTGGCATTTGAGGTGGGAACCAGTCTTGTGGAATGATCCCTTAATCTGGGATCTGTGCTAACTCCTGGCAGTTAGTGTCAGAATTGAGTTAAATTGTAAGACACCCAGTCAGTATCTATTGAGAATTGAAGAATTGCTTGGTGTGTAAAACCTCATTCATTCGGTGTCAGAAGTGGTGTGAGTAGAGGAAACAGAAGTCTCCTTTACAGAGGTAAAGTTTGCTTTACCTCTGTAAAGGAAACTGTTTTGAATGGTACAATATGAGAGTTTTTACTGCTTATAATCCTTTTATCTATGTTGAAAAAACTTCCTGAAATTGTAATAAATATTTTCCCTGTATTTATTCAGCATAGATTTCCTTAAGTTTAAAATGATTTTCGCATTAGATACAACTGAATTTTGATCCTATAATAACACTCTTCCTTGTGGAATAGTGGATAAGAAGAAAATTTTACAGTTTGTTCTAAGAATAATTGTTGATATTTCTAAGCATTTGAGATGTATTATTATTTTCATGAATTTAGATGATTTAGATTAAATTTGTAGCAGTACACTGCAATACAAAATGCAATGTAAACATAGTCATAGTTTTATTATAATTCTATCTGTATTACTTGTAACATACTCCTATTACAGTTATCAAAGATGAAGGTGACATGATAAATTTCTTCTTGCTTTGTTGCTGAGTCCAAAGCTGGTTTAAGTCTCATTTTTTTGATTATCTGGAAATCTGAAATAAATAAATTACAAGATTTAATTTTACATTGAGGTAGAAAGTAAAAACAGTCACTTGAAAGACATTTTGTTTTTTGTAATTTTCAGACATAGCTTAAAAGATGAAAAACACTTAACATTATGTGATATTTAAAAGTAAATCTGGGATTGTTTTTTAGATACTGTTTCAGTATTATCAAGTACTAGATGAAATTATTCTTGTGTTTGGAGAATTAGTTTATACTTAGCCTCTTGCCTACTTTGTATGCAACAGAAACTTTTTACTTGATTTACCATACCTACTACATTCTTCTTTTAAATTTTCTGGGACTTGATGTAAACTTTCCATTGTGGATTTTCTAGATTCTCCTACAGGAAAAAAGATGTATAAATTTAATGGTTTATCACAAATACAGTTTACAGTTATATTGAGCTTGAACCTGGGAATCCCTTTTCAGGGATATCTACCCTTATCATCTGTATGATAGAAGTCTATGTATCACTTATGTCACCAAGGCAGATTATATTGGTCAAAGATGGCCACAATATCTCCCACTTTACATGTTCCTCAATAGTATGAGCTTGTCACTACCCCACCCAGACGTGGAATCTAATTAACCTTCTGTTGAAACTGTGCTAGGCTTAGGACTCTTTTGTAATCATTAGAATGTGGAGAGTGTGGCTACATGATTTCTGAGGCGAGGTCAGAAAAGCCTCTGCAGCTTCCTACTGGTTCTCTTGGGGTGCTTGTTTTGGAGAGGGCAAGTCACCATATAATAATCCCTACCACCCTGCCATCCTGGAGAGGTCACATAGAAGATGCTCCAGTTGACAGTTCCAGCTGAGTCCAAAGTTCCAGCCATCCCACCAAGGCTCCAGTCTGTGTGGGAAGCTGTCTTGGATCCTTCAAACTAGCCCATCTGTCAGCTGAGCACCATCACTGGGTGACCTCAACTGGTGTCTAGCCAAACCATGCTTGAATTCCTAACCCACAGAATTCTTGTGATACATAAAATGGTGACAGGAACAGCCAACTTTTGGGGGATAAAATGATTTGTTAAAGCAATACTTGGAAGGAAAATTAATTTAGAGAGCAATATAAACTGTCCAAATAATTAAATCAGATATGGGAAGTTTATACATATAAGTAGCCATGTTAATTTTGTACTTAACTTTTGTATCTGTCCTTTAACTTTTGAGTTGAATCCACTGGGATTAATCTAATAATATGCTCTTTATTCTTGCTTATCACAAGCCCCAGTCTCCAGATCCCCCTTCATTTCCTGTATTTTATTTTCTATAAGGCTCTGTATTTTGTCCCCATCTCCTACCACAAGTCCTGAAAACTTTCCACGGTACCCTTATTCCATTTTCCAAAATTCCCATTACTTTCTTGCTCTAACAGAAACGTGGCTGTCCTCAGAGGTCACTGCCAACCCAGCAGCCTTTTTTGTTTTTCTTTTTGTCATTTTGCTACCATTGGGCCTGGAGATTATACTCTACTGTTCCATTTCAGGACATTCACTTTTGTTCCTTCCCTTCCTAAAACTCAGTCCTCAGTTTATATAATCAACTATTGTGATTTACCTACAACTGGGATCATTCTCAGTTGATTTTATCATTGGCTCATTATACCTTACTACTACTTTCTTAATTTAGCAATTTAAATGTACATGCAGAAGATTCTTCACCTGGGTCTCAATTCCTTGAGCTCTGTTCTTCTAGATCTGGTCCCACACCCTACTGCAACTATTGATTCCCATGGATTTACTTAGACCTTGCCATTAGCAATAACTTCAAGCCGCCCTCAAATTCAGTTGCCAACATTCAACTACTTGACTTCTAGCTTTATCTTTCTACATCACTCCTTCTAGGAGCCCAACACCAGCAATTCATCTACTTCCCTGGGACTTCCAGTCCTGCCACATTTTTATTGTTCCTCCCAATTTTGGTCCCTTCTCTCCCTTCTTTATTTAACTTAAATTCTATGGCCATTCTCCCCCTTGCATATAGCCTGACCTCATTACCCCTTTCCCACTTCATCATACTCACTTGACAAAACTATAACCCTAGATAAATACAACTGTCTCCTTATTCCTATCCTGTACTATATACCTCAGTGAGACTGGAAAAAAAATGTATAACCAGGCCTCATTTTAAATTCATAGCCATAGACATTAGGTGGCCTTTTAATGCTTTCAGGTCATCCTATTAAACACTCCTGGTCCATTCATTCTTCTCCTCTCCTAGATGGCTATATAGCTTTTTCTTCCTTTTTCCCAAAATTCTAACCCTGCCTATGGATCATTGTTTTCAGCTGATGATGTATTTCTGGTTTCATGGAGGAAATAAAAGACAATAGGAAAAACTTCCACATGCTTTGTGTTAACAGTTACTTACCTACTTGTTTTTGTTCTATATGCTCTATCTCACCTATGTTACCATCTAAGGCTAACCCCAGACTTCACCACTTCTTGCCCACACAAAACATGGCTCCAGTAATTCCTTCTGCCTCCCACTTATCAGAGTTGGGTTTTTTCCCTCTCTATTAGATCTTCTTATCAGCAAATAAATATTTAGTTGAAGCCACATGACTAAATTCTCACCAGTGAATGTAAACAAAGTAATATATACTGCTTCTGGGTCTGAGTGTTAGACATCGGGCATTTACTCCTCCTTAAATTTTCCCTTTTCCTCAATCTTGGACAATAGAGCCATTACCCCATGATTCAGTTTCTAACATGCGGATGATGACAACACCCTAGGCCAGTGGTTCTCGGCTGGCACTGATTTTGCCCCACAGGTGGCTTTTGGAAATGTCTGGAGACATTTGGTTGTCACAACTCATAGGTGGAAATGTTACTGGCATCCATGGGGTAGAGGCCAGGGACGCTGCTACATACCCTACAATGACCATGACAACCATACCCCAGCCCCCTCACCAACAAGAAAATCATCGAGCTCAAAATTTCAATAGTGCAAGATTGAGAAACCCTGCTCCAGGGGACAGACTGCTCACTTCAAGGTTAAGGAAGAAACAAATTTGTATATTCTTAAGCTATTCTACCTTGGGGACTCTTTGTAATAGGAGCTAGCCTTTACCTTAACTAACACCATTCTTTTAGGTAAGGAACTACCTTGGGTTTCTCAGTTTAATATTTGTCATTGTATGACAATATATAGAACATCTTAACATCCTAATACCAATTTTGTACTATCTAATGTCTTAAACTCAGCATTCCCTTTGGTTTGGCAGGATGTAACAATATCTCTTAAGCTGGGGAAATCTTTTCTGGATTTTCCAAGTTTAAAATTATGCCTGGTTTGTCTCAAATAACTGTTTTGCATTCGTTCCGCAGATGTTGAGGAAAGATGATTTTTATTGGGAATATTTCCCAAGTAGATTCTTTGAGAATAGCTTATCTTTAGCTATTCTTTTACTCAACTTAGGCCACAATTGCTGGTTTAAATGAAAGACATTCACATGCTTTCTGTGCTAGGAAGCCTTAGCAATGATTAATTTATACAGGGGAACACCTGAACTCATCATTCAGGTGTTCTGATACTTCTATTCATTTGCAACAAGATGAACACCACGGGATTGTTTGTTCTTGGTTACACTGTTGCAAAAGCACTCATTTTGATTCCTAACCTAGGTTTTGTACTGTGGGTTTGACTTAGAATATGATTTGTGATGTTTGATCTGTAGGACTTCAAGGAAGCTGGAAAATTAGGACCATTACCACTCCAACAAGGAGACCAGAACCAATACAAAGTTGAGAGTATGATATTTGCTTATACTGTCTACCATTTCAGTAGAAACAGGCACTTCTCTGTTGCTAATAGTAGACTCTCAAATGCTAGATCCCCTCAGGTGGGCAACAAAAGGATTTTATTTATACCACCACTTAGCCTATACTGTACCAAAGAGCAATAGAATAAGACAGCAAATGCTGAATTGCAATCAATCTAACATCCCATCCCTTCCCTTGAAAACAATGGCATACAATTTTCATATTATACAGTACTATATGCAAATGTAATTTTTAAAATGCTATTGGTAGAGGAATGTGAATTAAAATGGAGGAGACACTGACTAGTAGTTTTGAGAATGAGAAGGTAAATGAGTTTTTATAATTTTGGCATGCAAAACATTTTTAGTGGCCTTATGCTAGAAAAGGGTAAATAACAACTCATACATAAAGGTTGTGTCAGAGTTTATAGACTAGACCCCTGGTAATGGATTCAACCTTTCCACAACAAATCAAAAGTATTGTTGTATGCTCACATGAATATACAGTAGTCATTACCTTAAATTTAAAACTCACTATAAGCAGCAAACACATAGAGCAAGATATGAAGGCTGTATTGTATCAGTGTGGTCTGCAGAGAATTTCTTCCTATGGTTTTTGCCTTGTTGAAATATATGTTGCAGTTCAAAGCTAAAGGGATTACTTCTGAATAGTCATCACAGAAGTTGATTATGTTCGTATATCATATTTAGCTGGACCCTGCAGGCTATTATTCCATTAGCTATGCTGGTCCTGCTATTGTCAAAAATTTGATCACCTAATGTTAAAAGATTGTGCTTTCTGTTGACCTTATCAAAATGACTCAAAAGGTTTTGTTAAAAAATAAAACTCCAGATTGTGTTTTATGGAAGTGATTAAGAATAAATACTATGTATAAAAATGCTCATATCTTATGGATGATCTTAGCATTATACCATTATTAATGATAAAATTGTATTTTGCTTTAGTATTTCAGCATATTTTACCTAAAGTCATAGGTTTAACTTTACTAGAAATAGTTCTTTCTTACTGATAGTAGAGAGTGTCAGAAACTGATTTCTGAAAAAAATCAGTGTCTCCCTCCCTCTCTGTATTCAAATCATATAAAATTAAAACCATGGAAGTAAGCTCAGTATAGCAATATTTGTACAATAGTACATTTACAATGGCCTAATTACAACATGGTTTTATAAGGCAACTGTACTGAGGAGAGAAGTGTTTTGTTTGGAGGAAATATGTAGAGAAATGGAAAGTTTGTCATTCACACTTGATAGAAAATCACTTCAAGGGGCACCTGGGTGGCTCAGTTGGTTAAACATCCAACTCTTGATTACAGCTCAGGTCATGATCTCAGGGTCTTGAGATCGAGCCCCACATCAGGCTCCACACTGGGCATGGAACTTGCTTAAGATTCTCTCTCTCCCTCTCCCTCTGCCCCATTCCCCTGGCTTGCATAAGCACATTCTCTCTCTCTCAAAAAAAAAAAAAAAAAAGAAAATCACTTCAAATAATATATATATAATATATATATGTATTTGAGATTTTATTTATTTGTCAGAGAGAGAGAAAGAGAGAGTG